GGGAGGGAAGGGAAGGAGGGAAGGAAGGCGGGCCCGGGAGCGGCCGAGGGCCGGGCGCCCGGCGGGGAAAGTCCCCGGGGAGGACGGGGAGGACGAGGACGCGCGCCCGGGAGCAGCGCCCCCGCTCCTGACCTGCCCGGAGGAGAAGAGGATGGCGCTGGGAAAAGGGGTGGGTGGCTGGGGTGGGGAGGCAGCAGGAGAAGAGGAAGGCCGGTTCCCAGATGGACTGGCTCCTTAAAGGAAGCCACAGACTCTCCAAGAGCGCTGGCCAGCAGGTCCTTTCGGAGAGGGCTCCTTCCGAGGGTCCCCCTAGGTCAGGGGGTGACTTGAGTGCCCAGGACAAGGCCACAAAGGACGGCCCTCTGGGCCTGAGAGGGCCAAGCGCTGCTTCTCACCTTCCCTACATCTTGGGGTCAGGGAGATCATGGCCCCCCAAAGTGCCTTGGCCTGGCACTCGCCAAGCACAGGTGACAACCAGGGAAACGGGAGTGATATCGGCGACCGACCTCTGGAGAGACAAAGGTTCTCTGTGTCGGCTCAGAAACAAAACCTAGACAGGCAAAAAAGTCAGGACAGCGTCCAGACCCTGCAGGCCAGAAGACGGTGGATGTTGACCGAGGATCCGTTCTCTCTCCCACCACCACCCCTGACCCCCAGGACCCTCCAGCCTGGGAGAGAAGCTGGTGCATTTAGAGAGCCATGACTGGCAGGAGTGTGGGTTGGGTGGCAGATGTTCTTCATGGAGAGCCATCCTGCCACCCGTCCCCAAGTGACAAAAATATTATGATTTTCTGATGCGGTCGCCATGAGTCACAAGCGACTCAGGGTGCGGATAACAACGGCCATGAGACAGACCTCATGGTCGGCCGGCAGGACTCATGATCACAAGACCACACAGGCTACCACCAGTCTTGATGGCTTTCGTGGAAGATTTGGAACTCCTACGTGCCTTCAGGTCCCCTCCGACTCCCACGAGCGGCCCCTGAAATGTCCCGTTTGGTGACTGAACCAAGGTATGCAACGCCTCTTACCTGTTCCAAAGAGGAAGCCACAGGCTTGAGTCTCCAGGCGCCAGCTAAGCAGGGCCACTGAGGACCAAGACATCCGGCAGATCCTCTGTTCATAGAGTGGCCGTAATGTGTCACTTGATGACACGTAACACACACACACACACACTGTCCACAGTGGTAGGAAACTCTTTTCGAGAGAGACGTCTATTGACTAGCCTTTCTCCACAACAACAGAAACTAAGGAAAAGCAAAAGGCGTTGTGGCTCCTTAAAAGACCATCACATTTATTTCGGAGATAAACGTGGTAGACTTTAAGGCGCCACTGATATTTTCAGCTTTATTGTGACAAGACTCTTGTTCTGGCGGCCACTGAGGGATAAAGGGAATTGTTGGGAAGAGTCTCCCTCCCACTCAGTCATAGAGGCAACGCCAGCGTCATCTCCACGCTTGCAATGCTATCGATGCCACTTCAGCCGTCCTGGTGGCCTTTCCGATCCATATGTGAGGGGTGGGGGGGTGTCCAGACCCTTGGCCAGAAAACTCTGGGCCGCTCACAGAACTGCAGCCAAGAGCACTAAGGACCCGATGATCAAACTACCGACCCCTGAATAAAACTTGGGGAGGGAGAAGAAGCAGCTGATGTGATGTCCGGTCCCAACTTTTTAAAAAAATACAGTATATATATTTAAATTGTATTTTTTCTACTTTCCTATCCAGGTTGCAACCAGAATGATTTATTGCAATATGTTCCATTCATTTCAGCTTGTCTTATACTCTCTAACTTAATATTAATCTAATCTATTCTACTTAAATCGGTGTAGATTTGAGCCAGGAATAAAGAGGTTGCCATTTATTATTACCCAGTCTATCATTTAGTGTATCTGTCAAAATATCCATTTCTGCTAGTTCCAAAATCTTCAGTTCCCAGCTTTTATATCCCCACTTTGCCCGGCGACACTGTTTTGAAGAACGTGGACGCTCACCTAGTTTGTAGCCGCCCAGAGTGGTAGAATATACCAGATGGGCGGGATATAAATCAAATAAATAAATAAATAAATAGCCTTTGGGTGGTCTGATTTTACAATGATAACGATTACACTGTATATCATGGAGCCCATTCCGACTTAAGTGACCCTCGCCAGGGTTTTCTAGGCATACAGTACGAGTCCAGAGGACTTCACTGTGCTCATCTTCAAGAGGTCACCTCTAGGACAGCATAGCTTGCTCAAAGCCAGGCAGGCTGGGGAATCGAGCCTTTGAGCGACCGAGCGCTCCAACACCCTGAGCCCTTCAGCCTCCTCTAGCGGTCAAATTGCTTTGCCAAATTATGGCCTCAATGGATCTCTCTGGGCAGTAACCTTCTTCCCGTCTCACTTCCTGACCAGGGAGATAAAATTTTCTCAAGGCAGTGGCCAGGTGGTGGCAGGAAAAACAACAAATAGCCTTATGGCACCTTTATGTTTGACTTGATCCAGGTTTCTGTGGAGACCAGTAAATGGAAATTTGCTGCCAGTTTACAAAATGGTTTCACTGTTTATGCTCTGTTGGGAGGGTCCTTCTAACAGCTGGGTGGGGTGCTTGTCTCCTCCTGGCTCGCTGAGTTGACCTTCAGCCAGACTTGGAAAGGGGGTCAACATTTATTTTCAGATCAGCAAAGCCTCTGCATGGGTCCCCAAATCAAGACGGGGAGGGGGACCTCGCACAGGGTTTCTTTTTCATACACAACTTCAATTTGCACACTAGACGCACGCACGCACACATACGGCAAGGACATGCTGTGTTCAAAGGAGGAAGAACCTTTTATTTGAAGCCCGGAGACCCTAAGGAACAGGAATGCTTCGAAGAAGCAGAGAAAGCCACACACGGAGGGCCCGCGTGAAGAGGCACCCCTTAACTCTCGGGAGCGGTTTCTGTGATCGTTCCGGCATCCAAAACGAGTTCTCCTGCGTCGCGGGGGTCCTTCACTCGGGCGCCGTCAAGTCCAGCTTTGCCGTTTGGCTTTTCAGGGAAACGCCGTCTGCCGACCGTGACTCCTGCAAGGCAAGAAAGGAGGGCTGTGCTCCATTGTGCTCGGACCTGCCGGGTCCCCTTGAGTCGGGGGTTTCCCACCCAGTCATCCTCCCAGATCCTCCCGTCCTGTGGAGGAGACATGACCTAGACCTGCTTCCACCAAGGCAGGTGGGTCTCATCTTTTCCGTGCCTTTTGGAGAGCGGCAGGACTTTCCTCAGCGGACGGTCGGGCTGTTCAGTGGCCCTTGGGGGTCTACCTTTTGCTGTGATCAGGAGAGATCAGAGACCTTCCAGGGCCCTTCCAGCAACTCTACCATTTTGGGATTTGCAAGAGGTGCTTCTGGGCATCCTCGGTTTCCAAAGTTTTCCAAAAGTACAAAGAACTGACAGAAAATGCTGGGGACAAGAGCGGAGACCTGAGCTTCCCCAGATCTGTGTTTTGGAGGGCAGAAGCCAAAGGCGTTCTAAAGGGAGCACTTGAAATTCTGGTGGACCATCAACAATTCACCAGATCCCCTTTTTTGTATCCACTCTTTCTTTCCCCCTCTCTTTTCTAAGTAAAGGTAAAGGTTCCACTTGACATTTAGACCAGTCCTGTCCGACTCTAGGCCCGTCTCCAAGCCACAGAGCCACCTTTTGTCCGTAGACCATCTTATGTGGTAATGTGGCCAGCGCGACTAGACATGGAACACTGTTACCTTCCTATTTATCTACTCACATTTTTACATGCTTTCGAACGGCTAAGTTGGCGGGAGCTGGGACAAGCAACCGGAGCTCCCTCCGTCGCGTGGATTCGATCTCACGACAGCTGGTCTTCTGACCTTGCAGCACAGAGGCTTCTTTGGTTTAACCCTCAGTGCCACCACATTCCTTAAGAGCCCGCCTAGGAAAAGCTTTAAGTCTTCCCATAACTTACCTGGTGGTGTTCTGATTCTGGTGCCAGTCTTTTCAGGATCGCATCCGCGTACCTAGTGATGTAGAGCACAAGGATGTTAGTGGACCTTTACAAGGGCTGGAGCTCTCAGGCAGGAACTGAACGGCTGCCTTTTCTTGCCATGGGATGAGATTCAAGCACGGGTGTCCCTGCCTTAACCTCTTCCAAGAGGTGGCCGTGTGAGGCAGCATCTACCTGGCCATTTCCTCTGCAAAGTCTGTCAGATTTGGCACAGGCAACATCACATTAAAAACCAGCAATGACTTGACACAAAATTATGGAGAAGCCGGGCAGGGGATTATCTGTAGGAAGATTTGATTTTGCTCTGATCCACTGTCATCAACTCTTCTGTGCTTTCTGCCCTGTGTGATCACCTGAGCTGACACACAGGGGTACTTGTGGAGGTGCCAGTTCCCCTCGGCTAAGCACCAGTTTCCCCCAAACAGTCAAAGTCTTCCCAGAGTGGGCGCTGAAACAAATAATCGCTACGTCACTTTGGAAAAATAAATTTTAAGAAGATGTGGAAGCTGCCAATTAGCACCTTGTCAGGAAAGCGTCTGAGGCCAGGATGGGTGAGAAACCTGTCGGTCATCTGGACGACAGCCATGATTTCCTCCGCAAAACAGAGTTGGAAAAACTGTGGATCATAGCAGATCTAAGAGTATTTTCCCTGTGGAAGCTGCCAATTAGCACCTTGTCAGATCGAAAGCATCTGAAGCCAGGATGGGTGAAAAACTTGTCGGTCATCTGGACGACTACAGTGATTTCCTCCGCAAACCAGAGTCAGAAAAACTGTGGATCATAGCAGATCTAAAAGTATTTCCCTTGCTGTGTGATCACAACCTTAGTTCATTTACACATGTATAAGGTAAAGGTTCCCCTTGACACTTAGTCCAGCCGTGTCCGACTCTAGGGCGCAGTGCTCATCCCCATTTCCAAGCCGCAGAGCCAGCGTTTGTCCGAAGACAGCTTCCGTTGTCACGTGGCCAGCACGACTAGACACGGAACGCCGTGACCTTCCCACTGAGGTGGTACTTATTTATCAATTCACATTTCTACATGCTTTCGAACGGCTAGGTTGGCAGGAGCTGGGAGAAGCGACGGGAGCTCCCTCCGTGGTGTGGATTCAATCTTACGATGGCTGGTCTTCCGACCTTGCAGCCCAGAGGCTTCTGCAGTTTAACCCCCAGTGCCACCACGTCCCAATTACACATGTATACCCCCAAGATAAAATAAATTATGTCACCATGATTTAAGATTAATATGCTTATCTTTGTGTCAGCTTTCATGGACTGTACTCAATGTCCTCCCACACAAGGAGCAAAATACGGGGCCCCTGGTCTATCTCTGAGTGTCCCTAATGTAGGCATATCTATCTAGGCATATGTCTCAGCCTTTCATGTGTCCGAAAAAGTGTGTTCTCCTCCACAAAAGCTCAGAGTGCAATCCACTTGCAGCTCGGGAGTTGCTGCAAGATTCTGCATTTCCCTCTTGTCGTGGGTGGGCGGGGGGTGTTTTCAGAGATGCCTCCTTGTGGGGTGACCGGGGACGTCTCCTTTCCAAGCCCAAAAGAAGACACGGACATCCACTCACCACGTCTCCAACTGCTGTCTCTTCAGGGAGGCGACGAAGCCCAGCCCAAAGAGAGCCAGCCCGGTGAGAATGACGAGCCCGACGATGCGACTTGTGGCCACTGTAGGGAGGGAGAGAGAGGAAGGAGAAAACGAGGTTTGGTTCCTGGGCCCAGAAGGAGAGACCGGTGCCCCCTATTTCAGGATCGCACCTTCAGAATTGCACATGGAGGGGGAAGGCAGGGGATCTCTCGGAGTTGCTTTGGGGCTTTGACCCTTCTCGGGCTGAGACGTAAGGGACACCCCACCCCTCGGGGTGTGGGGAAGGGGGTTTGGTCTGGAGGGAAAAACAGGGAGAAGGAAGGAAAGTCGCATTTGTAAAAATATAATCTTACAACTAAAGAGCTGGAAGGGACCCTCTGGATTGTTGAGTCCAACCCCTGTCAAGGAGAGGTCGGAGGGCATTGAGCTCCTAGCCAGAGACCTCAGCTGCTGAGCTATCCAGCAATGTGGACAAACCCATGGGAGAAAACACGCCGAGCATCACAGAACCTTCTCTGCAGGTTATGCCAGTATCCTTTAATGAATGCCAAGATCTACCGGTCTCAAAATAGCCTGGAGTGGGTTTGGGGAGTGGGGAACACACTTGTGGGAAGCCATGCTGTCCTATAGGATCAAAATCCTAGAATGGTGGTGGTCGGAGGGGGTTTGTGGGAAGCCATGCTGTCCTATAGGATCAGAATCCTAGAATGGTGGTGGTCGGAGGGGGCTCCTCCAAGGCCCTCAAGTCCAACCCCTGCTCAAGCCGGGAATCCAGACCTAAGCAGAATCCAGACCCAAAACAGAGGGTAGTCCTGTTTCCTCTTGAAGGCCTCATAGGCACGACCTAAATCAATCCCCACCCCTGCATGCGACATGCTGGGTTCTGTATCCTGATGTGAAGAAACCCTGGAAACGGGATGTCGTGATTGTCCAGTTTCCTAAGGCAGAGGCCAGAAGCTGGACCTTCCTCCTGAGGTTCGCGCATGGTCGCATCCAGAACAAATGGCACCGGGAGAGGCCACAGCTGAAGCACAGGCAAGAATTTCCTTGGTAAGATCTCAAGGCATCAGCTCCGCCAGGTTACCTTTTCCAGCGACCGGGACAGACAAAGCCATTTGGCTGCAAGAGAGCAAAGGGCGCTACTTACTCCTCTCTGCCGCCGGGGGCCCGCTGTCAATGCTCCCCCCGTATCCCCTGCCGGTGCAGAAGGGAGGGGCCCATCCGTAGGAGCAGTGGCAGTTTCCGTTGCTGTTGCACACCTGTAAAACACCAAGCGTGCCTGCGAATCACCCTCTGTGTGTGTGGGGTCCAGCTGGCCAGAGACCCAAGCGAGAATGTCACAAGACCAGCAGGGTCCCCAGTGACATCTGCACGGAGCCAAATGTTCCACCCAGGGTTCTGGGTTCAAATTCAGACGCATGGAGGGGTCAGGGGTTCTTAACACATGGGAAGGAGCTGGGGGGGTTTTACAGGGGTAGAATCAGTAGCAGGAGATGCCCTCTGCCACTGTTCGTTTCCCCATCAACCTCCTCACTCTGAGTCTGCCGGTGGCGGGGGGGGGCTGCAATTTGGGGTTGGTGGTCCAGTGCTGCCCCATGCAGCTCCATGCACAGCCTTGCCAAATGAATCTGCGCTTCTGTCCTTCCAGAAGCATTTTGCTGGAACTGCCTCCTTGCAGGGATGTTTTTCCCACCCTGGCCAAGCTTGGGTGAGATGGTTCTTGGCGTGCCCCTGAAATCTACGGTTGGTCCATGCCATGCAGGCCAGCAGGGAGACCAGAAGGTCCTTCCTGGAGCGGCTTTGGGAAGGGTGTCCCTGGGAACACCGCTAGCTTCAAAAACATTTCTTAAATACGAGTAGGAGTGACACCATAAGGAACGCTCCCTTCTTCCTGCCACAGGGTCTGCCGTCCTCTCTTGCCCAAACCTTTTATCTCTGGCCCAGAGAATCAAAACCTCTGTGTCTGATCCCAAAGGCGGCAGGGGAAGAAGGATCAAGGCCAAAGTCCCATGAAGTTGCCTGACTCACAAAGAACGCTCTTACCCCTCGGTGGTGACACTGAGAGAAATTGCACTCGTGCTTCAGAACGGCCAGGTCAACGCAGGATCGGTTGATGCAGATCTACGAAAGGAGGAGGGTGGGAAGAGGTTAATCTTGCAGAGTGCTTGAGCAGCAAGAAAGCCCGAACGCCAGAGACCGGCCACGATGCCTCCCCCCTATTCCGGGGGTTGAAATATCCCAGGGCCGAAACACTCGGGAGCATCTTCAAACAGGGGTGGGGGCTTCTGTTGGGGGAGCCTTTGCTTCTCCCTGGGCTCCAGTAAGGGCCATGCCTGGATCTCCCCAGGGCGACTCTGCCCACGCGTGCTCGCATCCCGTGTTTTCCATCGTTTAGGAAATGCCCGTCTGCAGGCAAGTCGGTTCGGTTACCTTGTCGACGCCACAGGCCGTTCCATCTTTCACAGCGCCAGGATCGTTACCTTCCTGCCTGGGGTGAAACTTGGTGCCCCAACACAATGTCTCCTCCACCGGGGTCTGAAGTATTCCTTGCCCGGTTGAAATGTGGGGAATTTTTTTAATATGAGTGCACTGGAGCCTCCCACAAAGGATGTCTCTGGGAAAGAAAAGGAAGAGGGGGGGAAACGCGGATCTCCTCTGTTCTTAGGGACGGCCACTGGAAGCCAGCCAAGGAACCCAAAGGAGATGAGGTTCAGCACGTCACTGAGCCGCCTTGGGGGTCCGTTCAAGGAGGAAGGTGGGGTAAAAAATATTTTAAATAAATAAATAAATAAAAATGAGGACAACATGTGTTTCCTTACATGCCAAAAGTAAGGGCATAGTAGTTGTTGTGGGTTTTCTGGGCTATCTGGCTGTGTTCTGAAGGTTTTTCTTCCTAACGTTTCACCAGTCTCTGTGGCC